GTATGAACAGCTTCATACAATCCCATACGTTCTATTTTGACACATAGTTACCGCCTAGCGTTTTCGCGTCCGTGCGAACGCTCGCTAACCCGACGTGCTCGGCTGTCATTATGTGTGCTGTGTTTATGTGCAGTGGAGGTAAATTTTGGTTGGTTTAAAAATAAATTTGTGAAGATAATTTTAAGGATTTTCCATAATCATGTAAGTTTACCGATTTTATAATGTAATATTTATACCGGTGTTTACTAAATGATAAAATACAATTTATTTGTCGTTACAATCATTTTTTAAACACATATTGAAGGTGTAGATTACACAAGGAATTCCAATGCACTTACATCACAACAAACAAGCCCTTTAAAGTTACAATAAGTAACTCTGAGAGCTATTTGAGAACAAGTTGACCGTTTCACAGACATAAACTCACTTTTTGCTTTGGGTACAAAAATAGGAATACTTTATAGGGAAATGTGCAAAGCTTTTTAGTCCTACTTAAGTTTCCACTAAGAGGCTTGGAGCCTTTTTATAGAGAGGGTTCTTTAAGCATACTCCCGGGGGGACGGGAATTGGGATTCTCCCTATAATGGAACATATCCACTAAACCACCTCTGGTTCCTCCTACGCTAAACCCTAAACTTGCAACCTACCCTAAGTTAGAAGCAACTAGGGCATAGGGTATCCCATTCGATCTATCAAGTGTCAAACTTTGAACCGAGCAGGTTAAATAAAAACCCTAGCTTCAAGTTTAGAATTACCTTTTTAGACAGAGCCACCACCATGGCTCCCCTCTCTCTCAAGATAGTGCAGGACGGTGGCGCCATCACGCGGACGGTGCTGTTTGACACCACGACGCGAGTCCGTGACGCGCTCGAGATCGTCAAGGAAAAGCTTATCATTGACGATAACGGCAAAGGTTTGTTCAAATAAGGTTTACTGGATACTGTTTTTCGATTTAAAATATAGTAAAATTTATTCTTTACATTTATGTCGATTAGTACTGACATAATTAAGAAAAGTTTTTAAGCGTATTGTAATTTATCTTGCATAAAATCTAGTACCATAGATAAATCTTCCTTATTTGTTGATAGACTCACTTTTAGATTAATTGTTAAAATAAAATCGTTGTTGTATTGTTTGTTTCACATTTAGCACTCTCTTTCGCGCCTAAAATGTTTTCGCCTACTTGTTTTTTAATACAATTTTGTCTATTGCTTTCTTGACGGCCAGTATTATTAAATATTCATCCACAATATTTTTGCAACTTTAACAATTATAATATTACAATTGTTGTCAGCGCCATCTATTATCAAATATTGTACTACCACATCTATTAGGTCTTTTAAAATTTGATGCTATTAGTAGTTTCATTTCGCATTTAATTGAATAACATGTATTTGTTACTAAATATGTTCCAGATTATGGTTTATTCCTGACATCAGCTGACGACGAGTTGTCTGGCGTGTGGCTGGAGGGCCACCGTCCTCTGGACTACTACATGCTGCGCGACGGGGACTCCCTGCTATACCTCTGCAGGAACCGGAACCTCAGGGTCAGGATGTTAGATGGTGAGAACCACTGCGTCTGTAAAAGTCCAGATCTATAAAAAAGATTTCAAACAAAACCAAAGACGATCTTTAGACGCTAATTTCCAGCTTAACTGTTTGTATTTGAACGAAATTAATGGTAGCCCCTTCCCCTTAGATACCATCCACCAATCTTGTCTTTTACCAAGTGAATTTTTAAGAAATAGTACGAAAAATACTTTTCTTGTAGTAATAAAAGAAGAGTCTCAAACGATATAAAAAGTTTGACTTGAAATTTTGTTTTACTAATTCTGCACGCGATTCCATCCGAGTGCAATTAAAAAAAACATAAATTGACAGCCTATGTGTTCCTCCAGACTATCCTCTACATCTATGCCAAATTTCTTCGAAATACGTTCAGTCGTTTAGGCTACAAACTCCGACAAAAATCTATCTAAACTTTCACATCATACTAATCATATACTTCATGCTAATATTATAAATGTGATAGTTTAGATGGATGGATGGATGTTTGTTAGAGTTTGTAGCCTAAACGACTGAACGGATTTCGATGAAATTTGGTACAGACGTAGAGGATAGTCTGGAAGAACACACAGGCTACTCACTTTTGTTTTTTTAATTCCTCGCGGACGGAGTCGTAGGCGAAAGCTAGTTTATAATATTAGTATGATTTTAGGTTCAGTAAAGACGATGCAAATAGACGAGTCCAAATGTGTTGGTGATTTGATGATGGTGATATGTGACAAGATTGGTATCACCAACCACGATGAATACGGATTGGTGAGTGACATTTTACCATACTCATTGCAGATATCTATACTAATATTATTAAGAAGAAAGATTTGTTTGTATGTATTGAAATAACTTAAAAACTACTGGACCGATTTCAATTCTTTCACTACTACGAGTAAAAAGCTACTTTATTAACAAGTAACAAAGGCTTTTTTATTTTTAATTTCACGCAGACGAAGTTGCGAGCAACAGCTAGTTTATACCAATATTATAAATTAACGACTTATATTTTTGTATGCATTGATATAACTCAAAAACTACTGAGCTGATTTAAAAAATTCACCATTAAAAAGCTACGTTTTCAGTGAGTGACAGCTGGTATAAAATAACTCCAATGACTTTGTCTATAGTGTTTTGAGCAAGTGGAGCAAATACAAGAAGAGAAGCCGGTCACCGGCACTCTCACTCTCAAGAGGAAGCAACAGACGAGAGAGAAGGACGCCCAGATGGAACAGCTCAGCAAGAAACTCAAAACTGACGACAATGGTAAAGTATATACTAATATTATAATAGCGAAAATTTAGATGGATGTTTTTTAGAGTTTTTAGCCTAAACTGCTGAACGGATCTCGATGCATTTCAGCATAGACATAGAACAAAATATGGAAGAACACATAGGCTATTCACTTTTCTTTTTTTTAATTCCACGTGGACAAAGTCGTGGGCAACAGCTAGTTATAAGTGATGGTCTACAATTGGTCTTTGTGCAGTGGAGTGGTTAGAGCAGCACAAGACGCTGCGTGAGATAGGAGTGGACGCGCAGCAGACGCTGTTGCTGAAGCGGCGGCTGTTCTACTCCGACCGGAATGTGGACGCCCGCGACCCTGTGCAGCTCAACTTGCTGTATGTGCAGACAAGAGACGCTGTATTGGATGGTCGACAAGTCCTGACTGAGGAAAAAGGTAATTTGCTATATCGCTTTTAAACTTTTAGGATACTGTAGTTCTGAAGATATTCTGCATTAGATTGGATTGGTTTACTTCTGACTATACATTTCTATCAGCGTTCATATCTGAATCCACTCCCTTCTTAAGCATATTCTCTTTCTCACATTCCATACTTTCTTCTTCCTCTTCCTTTGTAGCCATCCACATTCTTTCTTTTAACTTTCTGGTTTATGTCCCCATCCTCTTCACATAACATGTCCCTTTTTTTTTTTTTTTTTT